CTCCTCAAGCCTCCGCTCCCGCCGCTCCTCAAGCTCCACCTCCCGCCCTACTGCAGCCACAAACCCCCACCATCTTTCCCCGCCAGCCGAACTCCACCATCTACCGCCTTCGTTACACCCGTGGCCGCCGGATTAGCGCCGACGAACTCCACAGCTTAGATCCAACGCGGATCTTCTTCAGCTATCCCCTATTCACCGCCTCATCGACGACGAACAGCCACAACTTGGTAGCCGCCAAACCGACCAGCCACAGCCTCGTCGCCGATCAGGACCACCGCCCCGAGCGTTTCCCTCCAGTCGCGCTCATCGAACCCGACCAGCCCGGACGCCTACAGTCGCCGACCCACTGCACGCCAACGAACTCCAAACCCGTGTCTGCCAGATTCGCCGATGCTCGAGCTCACCGTGGCCTGGATCTCCTCCTCTCCTGTGCGTCAGCACCATCGTCTCAACCCCGCCCTGTCGAACTTGAGCAAACACGCCGTTCCCTCGAACCTGCTGCCGAGGTCACCCCGATGCCCTTGCATCACCACCCCGTGGCTGGACAGCCCTCACCGGAGCTCTTTTCGACGTCGTTTCCCCACGTTGGATCTGATCTCGCACGTCGACGTCGACACGTTCGACGAATACACCGAGGCAAGATCTCGTGGTTACCTTGTTTTTAATTAATGGTTAATATCATGTTATTATGATGATTAGATATAGATAAATTATTTTTGTGGTTAATACGTATTTTTAAATATCTGCGTGGGATGGTGATTGCGAGCGCACCGTAAAAATTAGATTAATAATGTTGTTAATTATATTTTTAAGAATTTCAGACATGAAATGGCAAGATATATGTTAAAATTAGAATATACAAAATTTTATCGAAAAGAAATTAATTAAGAAAAATTTACAAAATAGAAAAATATTACTTTTCATACAAAAAAGAATTATTATAATATAGTATATAAATATTTTCATTTTAAATTTGTTATAACAAGAATAATTTCAAAGAATAAATTTCGGAAAAAGAATATTATTATTCATGATAGTATGACTGATTGTCGTAGAGTGCGACATTTCATGTGCAAAACAACATTGGTTTCTAGTTTTCTTTTTACCGCATTATTATATTAGAGAATACATAAGTACGGATAATTTGTATGAGAACTTCGGACATCCCAGTGGTAAGATAATAATGAAGCCCCCTCATGTATTACATTCATGCTATAGTATTTTGTTTATGCATTTCATGTTCATTACAATTCTCTTTTCTTCTTCATAAACCTGCGTAATCATGTTTAATATGCCTTACTATATTCATGATCTTTTGATGTGTTGAGAACGTTAGTTGTTCATGACTTAGTGGCCTTGTGCGTCATGAACAAACCTAGCGACACGTGTGAGTGTTGACTGAGTTTAGGTGGTGAACCCGAGTTTAATAAGGATCATGATTGTTGAATTAGAGAATACAAAAGAGTTGGGATGGGGAGATCCTTGTTCATGTGATCGGATATAACTATTGATGTATCTTCTCGGCTCGCCCCATGATCCAGTACAGCTTGGGGTTAGTTTGTTGGGTCAAAGTGAAGCCAGTGTAGTCACTTTGGTCCGTGAATTGGATATTCACCCGAGTTTAACTTGAGTCGAACCAGGTTGAAATCGGATTGCGTGTAGCCTTCTGACCGATCCAGTGTAGCGGCGTATTGGGAACACGTAGGGGATTTGTCAACAGTCAGATATCCGGTGATATGAGTGATGACTTTATGTGAGAATTGACCAGTAACTTGTTATAGGATGGATTAGTCGTAGGAATTAGATTACCAGTTAGCTTGAGTACTTCTGTTCGTTCTGATAGTAGCAAATGTTCACTTAAATTGCTAGAATTACAGAATCATGTTCCATCATTATTATTGTCATAGCATGGGTCGTTAGACCGTTTTATCTGTACATGTGAGATCTTGCCGTGTGCCATGCACGCTGACGTATACCTGTTTTCTCTGGTGTGCGTCAGACTTAGGAGACGGACAGGTCCAGCTTGACGTTAAAGCAGAGCCAGTGTATGCCGAGCCGGAGTATCCTTCCGATGGAGTGGAAGAACAAACCGAAGCCTAGACGTGTTTTCTTTTCTGTAGTAATTGATGAACATTAGAACTCGTCATCTTTTTATTCTTTAGTTAATGTCAGATTTTCGTATTTTTGGCAGTACTTTCTTTTATTATGGACTATGTGTTTTTATTTCTATCTAGACCTGTTTTGTAATAAGGGTATGTTTGACCTATATTTTATATCTGGGATGATTTATCATGGATGATATGTTATTTCTTATTCTGGATTATCTTTCTATTCTTGCTATTGTGATTGGGGACGTATGATTGAGATTTATGTATTTGACGCTTAGCGTATTGGATTGAGAAGAAAAAAATTATGATAATATTTCTTCTTAATCTAATACGTCGCGAACTTGTTCACGTTCCGATTCCCCGATATTTTAGGAAACGGGGCGTGATAGGTTTTAGTGGTGGCCCATGCAGGTCCCGGTCCCGAGTCCTCACTAGTAAGAATATAGTAGACAATTTAGATACATATCATATTTCATCCGTAAGACTACAATTAAGTTCTTATACTATTATCTTAATAACTATGTTTTAGTTCCTATTTTCTAATATATTGTTTTGATTTTAACCCTAGTTATTTGTTCCTCGTTTCCTTCAGAACCATGGTGGGTACTCACGGTTTTAGTAACCCGTCTAGTAGCAGTGCCCCACAGCCCGAAGTGGATCCAAACCAACTTCTGGCAATGATTCAGGGATTGGTCACCAATCAGCAGCACCTGGCTGGACAGCTACATAGGGAGCCTTAGCACCAACCTCCCCCTCGCGCAGTGTCTGGAGTTAGAGAGTTTCGATATATGCAGCCTCCTTCCTTTTTTTGGTGCCGAGGGACCTTTAGCAGCAGAGGAGTTTCTCAAGGTCACTGAGACTATTCTCATGGTGACCCGTATTCCCCATGCTGAATGGGTGGACCTCATGGATATTCAGCTCACCAATACCACTCGGATATGGTGGGCAGCTGAGAAGACTCATTTGGAGAGGCCCATCCTATAGGAGACGTTCATCGAGTGCTTCAACAAGAAATATTTTCCTCAGTCAGCTCGGGATGAACTCCTACGAAGATTTGTTGAGCTCAAGCAAGGAGGGCGAACAATTGATGAGTACGAGGCCGAGTTTTCTTCTTTGAGCCGATATGCTCCCCACCTGGTTACAGATCCTACGATTAGGAGGCATCCGTTTCAGAAGGGTCTGGACAAGTATATTAAGATGACTCTGGCAGGTAGAGCTTTGGCGACCCATGATGCGGTATTAGATGCAGCACGCGAGATTGAGAGCATGCATAAGGAACCTGAGGACTCATACGTGATTCGGAGCAGGACACCAGCAGCTCCGGCCCGAAATGTTGAGCGTCCCCCTCCGAGGCAGTAGTAGCAGGCCCCGCAGAGGTAGCAGCATTCTCAGCATCAGCCATTCCCTCTGAGTCACCCTTATCAACGCCCTGGAGTGCAGACTCGCAGCCAACCATCGGTGAAGTGTACTCATTGTGGCTACACTGGGCACACCCAGCAGGAGTGCCGCAGGCGTCTTCGTCTGTGCTATGCATGTGGGTCCCCCAATCATGTCATTTGGAACTATTCGCAGCGGCAACAGGCCAGTTTACCACCACATCCAGTTAGGGCAGCTCTCCCAGCACCACCTCAACCAACTCTGACAGCACCGCCTCAGCATAGATCTTATCCTCGAGCAGGGCCACTTCCCCACAGCAGCAGGGTATATCAGGAAGCACACATGCAACAACCTCGGTGACAGATGTTCATGATGTCAGCCGTAGAAGCTGAGGCGAACGATCAAGTTATCACTGGTAAGAATGGTTTATTCTAAGTTTTATTTGCATATGAACTTCTTTAATTAGCATTACTTAATAATATCATGGTAGGATTGTTTATGAGTACTAAGTTAGTTGCATTATATCCTCCTAAATAGGCAAGGTTCTTGTTTCTTCTGTTCCTGCTTTATCGCTCTTTGATTCTGGAGCCTCCCATTGTTTCTTGTCTCGTCGATTTGCGAGTGTCCATTCTCTTCCTATAACTCCTTTGACTACGGGCTGGAATATCAACACTGGCAGTTGTGTCTTAGTAGCATCCACTGGTTATGAAGCATGCCCTGTGGTTATCTGTGGGAGGGAACTCTTTATAGACTTTCTGGTGATTGATTTGCCGAGCTTTGATGTAGTATTGGGGATGGATTGGTTGGGGTCATTCTTTGCCACCATTGATTGTCACTGTCGGAGCATAATATTCGAGATACCAGATTACCCAAGATTTGAGTTCACTAGTGGTAGCACATCGGTCGGACCTCGAGAGTTCAGAGCTAGACCGAAGAACGCGACGTTAGCTGCAATGCAAGTGGAATCCGAGAAGCCAATTGTAGTTCGAGAATTTGACGACGTGTTTCTCGACGATATTTACTGATTTTCATTGGATCGAGCAATTGAGTTTTCTATAGATTTGAACCCTGGAGTTGCACCGATCTCCAAGACCCATTATCATATGCCTCCAGCTTAGTTGGCCGAGCTTCGGACTCAGTTGGATGATCTTTTGCAGAGAGGGTTGATTTGACCTAGTGTATCAGCCTGGGGAGCACCTGTGTTGCTTGTGGGATGATCTTTTGCAGAGAGGGTTGATTTGACCTAGTGTATCAGCCTGGGGAGCACCTGTGTTGCTTGTGGGAAAGAAGGATGGATCAAAGCGGATGTGCATCGACTACCGGGAGTTGAATGCAGTGACAATGAAGAATAAGTATCCACTTCCCTGTATTGATGATATCTTTGATTAATTGGGAGGATCTAGAGTATTTTCTAAGCTGGATTTGCAGAGTGGGTATCACCAGGTGAAGGTTAAGGATTCTGATGTCCCCAAGACATCGTTCCGAATGAGATATAGACATTATGAATTTTTAGTGATGTCGTTTGGTGTGACTAATGCGCTGTCAACATTCATGAACCTAATGAATCTAGTATTCTATGATGTGCTGGACAAGTTTGTGGAAGTTTTTATTGATGATATATTGGTGTACTCTAAGAGTGAGGCGGAGCATGTAGAGCATTTGCAGTACGTGTTGAAGACCTTGAGACAGCATCGACTATTCGCCAAGTATAGTAAGTGCCAGTTCTGGCTGGATCGTGTTGCGTTTCTAGGACATGTGGTGTCAGGAGACGGCATATCATTGGATCCAGAGAAGGTATTTGTAGTGAAGGATTGGCCTATCCCTAAGTCGGTGTCCGATATTAAGAGCTTCCTGGGATTAGCTGGTTACTACCGTCATTTCATTAGAGATTTTTTGAAGATTTCAGAGCCGATGACACAACTTACGAGGAAGGATATTAAGTTTATCTGGTCCGACGCTTGTGAGAAAGTGTTTGAGGAGCTAAAGTCTCGACTGATTACGACCCCGGTCTTGACGATACCAGATAAGAGTGGGAACTTTGAGGTGTTTTGCGACGCATCAGGTAGAGGATTAGGATGCGTTCTTCAGTAGGATGGTCATGTGGTAGCATATGCTTCTCGTCAGTTAAAGAAGCATGAGCAGAATTATTCTACCCACGACTTGGAGTTGGCAACTATGATTTTTTCCCTTAAGCTTTAGAGGCATTATTTGTTAGGAGAGCAAGTGAAGGTGTTCACTGATCATAAGAGCTTGAAGTACATATTTACTCAGAAGGAGCTCAACATGAGGCAACGCCGATAGTTAGAGCTGATGGCGGATTACGACATTGATCTTCAGTATCACCCCGGCAAGGTCAATATAGTACCAGATGAGCAGGAAGTGAGGGATATGAGTATAGAAGATCTTCTTCCAGGAGTCACCGCATCTTTGATGAATCTTTAGATTCAATCGACACTGGTTGAGCAAATCAAGGCAGCTCAAGCAGGTGACCCATTTCTTCAGAAGTGCAGAGAATTAGCAGTAGCTATTCTTCGACCGGAATTTATTATTCATGAGGATGGATCCTTACAATTTAGGAGTCGTATCTGTGTACCAGGAGGAGATATTCGAGAGGAGATATTGCGAGAAGCTCATAGTTCACCATATTCTATTCACCCTAGAGGTACGAAGATGTATAAGGATCTGAAGCTGAAACGGTAATCGGGTCCTCAACAGAGTCACCAAATAAATAATCTGGTTTCTTCAGGGGGTGAGTAGAGTTAAGATCTTCGACCAGGGGTGCATCGGTGATTAGCTGCCATAAAGTACGACGATCTCCCTTACGTATCAACTTAGGGAGTTCTTCAGGTCCACCCGGAGCAAATTGGGGAATAGCCGGAATGAGCATGTGATCTCTAGCAGAAGCATAAGCCTCGCTATAGCGACCTTCTACCGTATTGGCGTTGATCACCTTTGAAGGAAATTCAACTAAAACGAATAATAGGCATTTACAAAATGCAGTTATGAGATTTCCTTTTTTATCTATGTAGGCGTTGAACTCATCTCATGGATCAGTGAGATAGAGTCACGGCCCTGTAATTGGTAAGACGATTTCAACGACATCACATACGCGCAAGACAAGGCATATTATCACACAAGCAACGTGGCAATATAACTCATCCTACGTAACGCAATACAATGTGAAATCACTCCAAATTGATTAAGACGCATTTTGACCAAGCAAAATGCGGCTATGAAGCGTCCACCCTCACGATGGAAGGTGACAGCTCTTCCTAATTACCTCACCAAGGAGAACAAAAGGGGGATATAATACATAATATGTCCATATGGGTTTCTAAGCAAAAAGGAAAAAAGTGCTTGTTAATTTAGGCGAGACGATTTGGAGTGTATTATACACACGAAGCACGACGTATCTTGTCATATAAGTAAGACAACATACCCGTCCTCTGGAGTATAAGGCAGCTGGAAATCGTCCCAAATTAATTAAGGCGTATTTTGACCAAGCAAAACACGGCTGTGAAGTGTCCACCATCACGAAGGAAGGTGGTGGCTCTTCCCAATTGCCTCACCAATAAGAACAAAGCGGGAATGCAATGTGCAATATGATATGCGAATGTTGAATTTATAAGCCAAAGGGCAATGAAAAGTTACTTGTACAGGAAAAAGGCTCTAACTTAGGTGACTGAGTAGTAGAGAGACCCCTCACAGCGCGTGATCCCTTCAGCGACATAGCTAGTCTTCAAAGGAAATCAGTGGTTCAGGTATGTTGAAAAGGGAGAGGAAACAATCCAATAATCAAAAGGAAATTACAATATTTTAATGGAAATTCTATAAAAAAAAATAGGATTTTTCAGTTAAAAATCTAATTAAATCTATGGATATAAAAATTGGGATATAGAGTTTTTATCAATACTCAAAAGTGAGATAATAGTTCCGGGTTATGTTCAAATCAAGCCAAATCAAATGCTTCAAGCCGACGGGTAGCCTATAGTATTCAAATCGAGCCAGCAAATAAATCCAGTGATCAATTGAGGCCAAACAAAAGGATCAAAGGTATCGGCTATCCCACGAGTTCATGAGTTCATCCAAGGTGAGAATGTGATGTACACACTCATATTCGAACAACGAGGATACGACAACAACTCTTGACTATGCACACAACAACAAACTCATTCATCAATCAAATGCCTTGAAAGAATTCAAACTCCGCATACAAGACTAAATGCAACCCAAGATCCTAAAATTTCAGCTATGCATTACCAAAATATATTTTCTTAAATGATAACACAACATTTCCTCGTTAGAAATCTAGCCTCATACCTGCATCACATAGCAGGCTTCCAGAAACTAAGTTTTTGGCAATTGAGGGAACATGTTTCATATTTTTTAATGTGAGAGTCTTCCCTGAAGAAAGAGTTAGCACCACAGTTCTAGTTCTGAGAATAGGAACCACAAAATGATCAGTCATTGATACGTTCTCTTTGGCAGTAACATAGGAAGAGAACAAATCTCTGTTAGAGCAGACATAACATGTAGCACCTGTATCTAACCATCAACCAGAGACGTTGTTGGAGGTTGTCACTTGGAAGAGCTTAGACACACAATTATCAGCTTGATTAATATTGTGTGTTGTCCCCTTCTTTGGTGCTTTGCAGTCCTTGGCAAAATGTCCTTACTTCCCATAGTTGAAGTATTTGCCGCTCTTCTTAAAATCTTTCTTTTGAACATTCAGGTTCTTTAGATTATGGTTCTTCTTTTTGTTAAAGGACTTCTTTTTCTTAGAAGAAGAACTAGTACCCTTCTTAGAGTTAGCAGTCATCATGTTAGCAGACGCCTTCTGCTTAGCTAGGAGCTCATTCTTCATGCCAATCCAAATCTCGTCCTCGATCCGAATGAACCTCTTCAAATCAGACAGAATCACCTATCTTTTCCTTCTTCAAATGTCCCTGAAGAATGACATCCAAGATGGAGGAAGCTTGTTGACAATTGCTCCAGAAATAAAGGTTTGATAAAGATTAATATTTTCATCCTTCAGCTTCATAACAAGCTTTTCGAGCTCTTTGACTTGAGGAAAAACCTCAGTATTGTCTTCGAATTTGAAGTCCAAAAATTTGTCAATGAGGTGAGACTTGGAAAGCTTCTCATCGTCCTTGTATTTCTCCTCCAGAGCATTCCAGATTTTCTTTGTAGAGAGCTTGTTGGTATAAGCATCTGCCAGATGATCAGTCAGGCAGTTAAGGAGATAACTCCTACAGAAATAATTATCTTTAGCCCATGAGGCTTCAAACTCAGAGTCTTCTTCAAAATCAAGTTTCTCCTTAGAAACCACATAGTATATTTGTTGGCCTTCTTATTTTGATGATGTTTAACAAACAATTTACCACTAATGTTGTTTGTCTAGTATTTGTGTTTTAGTATTTATTATAGACAAACAACGTAGTTAGAGGTTGGATGGATTGCGCTTCAACGATGATATCCAAATGAGGTTGGCGGAATGTCGGGTTGAAGCCTATACAATTCAAGTTAAAGATCAAGTTCAAGCTTCATCCGCAAGTGTACCAAGTCAAGCTAAATTGAAGATCAAGATTACTTGGGTAATGTAGTTTTAGATTTTATATTATGTGTGTTATATACTCTAAGCTCATCACCTTTAACAAGCTTATATTTAATGAAATCATATTTAGTGTTTTGAATATATTGCATAGAATATGCAAATTTATGAAAATATTGTATTTCTAGTTTATAGACTTTATAACAACATGTTATATCTTTTATCAAGTCTATACAATCATTTCATAAGGTTTCAAAATGTTGTTTAAGTCAAAATATCAAAATATCAATTTTCAGGTTTTCATGTTTTGGACTATTTTGTAAAATGATGATATTTCTCTTTTGGGAAGTCTTTTTAGAAAACCAGTTTTTGTAGCATGTGTATTATCATGTCTACAATCATTCCCCAAAGTTTTACATTTTTCTAAATTTATTTGATATTTTTAAACAGTGTTTTAAAATCAGCTCTAAAACCGATTTTTTCTGGAATGTCAGTTTTCGGTCGACCGGTACGATCGACCGGTCATTTGACCATTCGTCAGTATTTTTCCAGAGTATCGTCGGTCGACCGGTACGGTCGACCGAGAGCTCAAATCGGTCGACCGACAGAATTTCCAGTCGGCCGACGATGGTCCAGAAAGTTTTCTTCGTGTTTTTGCTCTCATCGGTCGACCGATGGGATTTTCGGTCGACCGACAATGTGACCGTTGGACTTCCAACGGCTCTTTCTCTGAGCTGTTTGCTGGGGTTTTTGGTCATTTTGTTTTGGGGTTTTTGCTGAGATTTCTATTGGGTATATATACCCCATTGCTGATGTCTTTTCAAACTAACTAAGAGAGTTTTAAAAACAAGTTTAAGAAAGTTTTAAATCAAGGGTTTAAGTTTGTTTAAAGTGTGTTTATAAGCTTTTAAGCATTTGAGTGTTTCGATTTTGTGAATCAAATTCCACAAGAGCTTGAGGAGATTATCTATTGAAGTTTGAGCTTCCAACTATCATCCCTCCATCTCTGCTTAATTGTTAAATCACTTTGTAATACTCTTGTACACCAAGTGAGGAGTGTGTGGTGAGAGTCGGGGATCGTCCCAAGAGGAGTGGCGTCGGTTGACGTGCCTAGAGAGAGGTTGTAACCGAGCACTTGAGGGAGACGCGGCTAGGTCCAACACTTAGTGGGTGTAGAGTGTGATTGCAAGAGTGTGAGTTGTAGAGTTTTCGGTTAGCTAGAAAACCGAGTGTGTAGAAGAAGTTCCGGCTTACAAACCGGATTGTGTTAGTGGATTTCTCCCCGTGAGTGGGGAGCGGAGACGTAGGACGGAAGGTCCGAACTCCGTGATCATATTGCTTGTTTGAGTGTGCTTTGGCGTTCATTCATATTTATGTTCATATCTTATATCGCGATCGTCATTAGGTCATTATCTATATCATCCACTATCTAGTTCATATTGTTTACCCTTGTGTTAGTTTATATATCCTTGCACATACATTGTCTATATCTCTTTGTTAGGGTATATCTTATTGTTTATATATCCTTGCATATATTTCT